TAAAATTAACTTAAACTAATTAAAAAAATAAATTAACTAAAAAGATTTTTTAGGTTTTTTTATGAAAAAGGTTTTAATAATAATATAAAAATTATTTAATTAAAATAAACTTAAATTCTAAATTAATTTTAATTTACAAGAAAATAATATAATATAATAATTAAACCTAATTATCTAAATGTTTATTAAAAAAAGAAATTAATTTGTTAAGAAAATTGTTTTTGTTCTTTTTAGTTTTTATAAAGAAAAATAAAATATGAGTGTAAAAATAATAAAATAAATATTTTTGAATTTTTCTATTAATAATAAAAAAAATTAGTAATAAAAACAATAAAATGAAAATATGAAAGTAAAATAAACTAAAATAAAAATAAAATGAAATAAAGAAATAATGGGTCAGAGGGTGCTGAAGCAAGGCAGGGGGTGCTGAAGCTAGCAAAAGACCAAGGTCCACTGTATTGAGGCCCAGGCGTGTGTGTTTGTGACAAAAAAAAGCAGAAATTGAAAGAAAAAACACCAAAAGGTAATGCTGGGTGTTGAACCCTTGACCTTATGCATATACGCGCTACCTCTGCCACTGGGGTGGTTGTACATCCGTTAACATTGGCACAACAATAAATATATAACACAAGTTATATCCTGAATACAACTTCATCTTCAACCTCCAGCCATGGATCCTGTAACTTCACCATTTCTCAACAAAAATGAAAGATGCAAACATGAAAGTTGCTCCATTTTTCCATACGAATCCAACCATATAAATATCATAAGCTATAAATCAAAGATGAATGAGAATTTCTAAAAGTACCAAATTCTGACCTAACTATTTTTCAGAGATTCAAACCTAAAATTCTCTAAGCTTAATCAATATAAATGAAATCTAAGGACATGTACAGTTTCAGGACATTGATATTATATCTTATCTTCATAAATCAGAATCAAATGATGCTTGTATGAAGAGATAGAAGTTTGAAAATTTACCTCTTGCAGTTAGAGTCGTGTATGGGGTTTGAGAAACCTTTGAGATGGCCTGATGATTTCTGTAGCTTGCCTGGACCTCCTTGAATGTATTCCAACTCCTACTTTACTTTGAGGATGGCTGAAACTCCCAACTCAAGTCAAGTTGCAAGCTTCAGTTTTGAAAATGGTGGATAGTGATGGAGGAGTTACAGTTTTGAAACAGGGGCTTGGATCACTTGTGTATGATGTATGTAAGGTGTCTGGATGATTAAGAATCAAAATGCACGAGTGGAAATGGAGATGGAGAGTTTTGGCTCAAAACTGTCAAATTGAACAGTTCTGTGCAGCAAGGGTGTTTGGGAGAGTTTTAGGAGGCTTGAAATCGTGTTTTAGCTTGCAATAAACTTGTATAGTTATATGAAAAAGATCCTAACACTTGAGGTGGTCAGAAGTGTGAGATATAGAGTTATGGCTATGTTACTTGATTTTGAAGAAAAGTGAAAAACATAGTTTCAAGTCATAGTACAAGCATGGTCTGAGTTGTTAGAGTCTTTAGACAAGTTTCTTATAGCTTTTAGATTGTGTGTGATCAGAAGGAAACAAGTGCAAAGCTCAAGAATTGACTTTGCACATAAAAGCCACTTTTCCAAAATGGCAATGTTGCTTTTCTTCCTAAAATGGTATTAAGCATGGGCAATGCATTGAATGTTTAGATTAAAGCTTCTAACAGCTGTGTAAACATTTAATCATGGAGTGTCAAACAAGTTTGAGGCCTGCAAAGCAAAGATTATGCAGCCCAGGCTTGGATTTGAATTCTTGTTCATCATGGAAATGACCTATAATTCAAGAATGAATGTCCAACTTCTTGTCTTCGATTCTCTTTGCTCAAGCATGATCTCAATGAGTTCTTAGACATTTTGGAAAGCTTGTAACATCCTCTACAACCTATATGTTGACCACTTTTGAAAATTCCCCTTGGAACTATGTGAAAAATTGCCATGAAGTTAGGTCAAAATTCTGCCTAAACTATGGCAAAATTTCACTAAGTTTCCAAGTTTCATGAACATGTATTCACAAAATCATAACTTGAAATTCATGCATTTATAGGAGAAGTTATGTTCTACAATGTTTTATATCTCATTGAGATCTACAACTTTCATGTTGAAAGTTTCCTTTGAATCATCATGCATCATGGTGAAAATTTTGCTCAAAGTTGTGAAAAAATATGAAATTTCCAACACTTAGAAAAATTTCTAAGTTTAGAAATTTTGACTTTTCAAAATGAAATCTTGAATTTTTGATTTCTTGATGAATAAGTTTCATGTTTTGAAATGTTTTGATGAATTGTGATCTCTGACACTTGATTTTGACCAAAAAGTCAAAGTTTGACTTTTCAGTGTGCAATTGACTTTTGATCAATTGACTGAAAATCAACTATCAATCAATTGGCCTTGAGCAATATTTTGAATCATGCCATTAGTTCAAAAATGATGCAATTGAATCCTTGAGATCATGTCTCCAACCAATCAACCATTTGCTATGTCAAAAATCAGAAATTACACATCCTTAGTCAAAACCCTAATTTTGACTAGTTTGCCCTTTTGATGATCTGATCAAATTTCTTGAGGAATTGTGGTCCAAACTTGATCAAATGACATATATGAGTTCATAATGTTGATATGGATCAAAAATCATGAATTTTGACTGTAAATTGGCCACAGTTGGCTTTTTCCCCAATACAGTTGATTTTAGGTCAATTGATCAATTGACTGGGCAAAAATGTGATCCAAGACTTAAAACTTGACATGAGAAATCTTGATGGTCCAAAATGATCCATGAAAATCATATGAGACATTAAAAGTTCATTTTTCCTTGTGCAATTTCAAACCCTAATTTTCAGTCATCAGTGCTTGAGGAGGTGTCTTGAGTTGATCAACCCTAAGGTAGTCTTGAACCAAATGAGATCTTATGAGAGATTACTTGATAAATGAGAGGGAAATTTTTGGGTACAACACTCTCCATCCTTTTCGTGATTCCATTTTTATTTGTCAATCGGAAGCCTTCTAGAAAGTGGAATGTTTGTGATTTGATTCGCCTCCAAAGGGTTGAAACAGACCTGGACTTTTTCAAGGTTCCACACCCCAATGTCACTATCAATGAGATCACAAATTTGCACCTCTTTATCAGGATCTCCAGCAGAACTGAGAACCTTGAAACTGGGACTGTCAGGCAGCCAGTTATCCACCCATATTCTAGCCTTCTCTCCATTACCAATCCTCCACCTAGTACCCCTATCCACCAAATTGCTAGCACTAAGCATACTTCTCCAAGCGTAACTCGGATTGTATCCCGAAGTGGCTTCAATAATGGATCTTCGAGGGTAGTATCTTCCTTTCAGAACCTTCCCAAGCAGCGAGTTCCCATCATTGAGGAGTCTCCAATTGTGTTTTCCAAGCAAACTTGTGTTGAAATCACTAATACCCTGGAACCCCAAACCACCTTCACCCTTAGCACGAGACAGTTTTTCTCAACTTAACCAATGAATTTTCCTTTTGTTGTCCTTCGTTCCCCACCAAAACTTAGCAATCATAGCTTCAAACTCATGGCAACAGCTCTCTGGGGGGTTTTTAACAACTCGTGATATAACTAGGAATAGCCTACCCCGCCGCTTTGATAAGAACCTCTTTACCAGCCCTCGAGAGAAACTTTTCCTTTCATCCCTTAATCTTTTTCCACACCATATCCATTACCAAATCAAAAACCTCCTTCTTTGACCTCCCAAACGCAACAGGTAGCCCTAGATACTTGGCATGACTCATAATCATTTTAACTCTCATCTCCCTTCGAATAGACTTCTGAGATCTTCATCCATATTGCGGCTAAAAGATTCCTCTGACTTATCCTAGTTCACTATCTGTCCCGAGGAAGCTTGATATCTTTGCAGAATATCCAAAATATATTTCGCTTCAGAAGCATTTGCCCTTGCGAAAAATAAGTTGTCATCCGCGAAAAAGAGGTGGGAAATGACAGGAGCTTATCTGGCCACCTGGATTACGTGCATCCTACCTTTCAGAACCTCTTGCTTGATCATTCCTAAAAAAACATCAGCATACAGAATAAACAAATAGGATGAGAGAGGATCCCCCTGACAGAGGCTTCTCTCAAGAATAAAGCTCTTGTTGGCCTGGCCGTTGAGGAGGATTTGATAGGAAACTGAAGAGATGCACTTGTGAATAAGATCAACCAATGATGTCGAAAAACCCATGGAACTTAAAGTAACCACCACAAAATCCCATTCCAAACGATCATAAGCCTTCGACATGTCCAATTTAAAAGCCATGACTCCCTTCTTCCCTTTTGTTTTCTTCTTTAGCCAGTGAAAGCATTCCAACACAATTAGAGCATTGCCAGTGATCAGCCGCCTTTGAACAAATGCATTTTGCTCCTCATCAATCACCTCTGAGAAAATTTGTTTCAATCTGTTTCAATAGTCTTTGTCACAACTTTCATGATCACATTACAAAGACTAATGGGTCAAAACTCCTTTAGGGAAGAAGGATTCTTACACTTGGGAATCATAGCAATAAATAGGGTATTCATGAAACCGAGAGTTTTGTTATTGTCAAGAATGTCCAAAACCAACCTTGTAACATTTGTGCCCACAATATACCAAAACTTTTGGTAGAACAAAGCGGGGAGTCCATACGGACCCTGAGCTTTAAAAGGGTGCATTTGGTACAGGGCCTCCTTAACCTCTTGAGCAGAGAAATTTTCCTCACACCACCTGACATTGATCAATTGTAAGCTTTCCTTTAACAACCTCACAAGTCTCCTGAATTTGATGCGGGTGTGAAGTGGAGAACACCTCAGATAAATGGTTGACAAGATGTCTCTCGCATTTTTCATTACCTTTCCACCAGTTTATGTGTTCGTCTCTAAGTTTTTTATCGAATTAGTCCTTCTCCTTTGTTTTGCTTTTCCATGGAAAAACTTGGTGTTACGGCCTCCATGGTTAAGCCAAATAGCCTAACTTTTTGTCTTCATATGATCTCTTTCATCTTCATAAGTTTGTTACTTTGGGCCTTGAGAGCTTTGTGAGTTTTGATTTCCTCGAGACTTTCATACCATCTGGAATCCTCCTTCAGCAACGCCTCAAGCCTTGTCAACTCCTTTGTCACCGATCCAATTTTATACTCTTTGAAATGTTCATCAAGCACATGCATAGCTTGAAAGTGATGATGTCCCTGAAGCCTCACTCCATTCCACAATTGCTCTATAAGACCTTCGCATATAGAATCCTTCAACCAAACTTCTTCGAACCTGAAGATGTGTTTACGTCTCTTGACGGGTTCCTCGGAATCTGCTTCCAGGATAACTCTGATAGCAACATGATCATAACCATGTCGAGGAAGATGACTAACCTTGATAGGATCAAACCTTTGAGTGAAACTGGAAGAAACTACCACTCTATCAAGTCTACATTGAATATTTTCAAATCTTGCCTCCCATTAGACCACGTAAACGGATATCCTTCAAACCCCAAATCAATCAGATGACATAAATCCAGAGTTTGTCTCCCCCAAGATAACCGAGATGAAGTTCTACTCACACCTTCGACCTTCTCATGCTCAACAATGATGTCGTTGAAATCCCCAAAACAGACAACTTGGTCACCTCCCCACTTAATCACCTCTTCAAGCAACATCCATGTCTTCCTCTTGTTAGCCTCTTTCGGGAAGCCATAAACCTCATTAAAAAACTAATCTTATGTTCCACTATCGCCTTTTATCAAACCACTTATATTGTTTTTAGAAAATGATAAAATATCAATTTGATATATATTCTTCCAAAATAGGATCAGACCTTCAGCTTTTTTCCTACCTGAACCAATGAACTCCACCACCTGACAAAAATCAAAACCATACTTTATCCTAACAGCAAGAACTTCTTCCTCTTTCAGGCGAGTTTCCATAAGAAAAACCATATCAGGGTTTTCCAAATGGAGGAGCCTTAGCAAGGCTCGAACTGAACGGGGACTCCATACCCCCTACACTTCCAAATAATGATCTTCATTGTTATAGGCGTTCACCACCTCTAGTTCAATTGTTTTTGTGTCTATGCCAATGGAATTCTTCCTTTTCTTGTCATTGTTCCCCAAATCCTCAATCGTTCCTTCAGTCACCCGTACCTCCACTAAATGTCTTTTTCCACTTTCTATCTCCAAAGCCTTTGCTTGGATTTGTTCCCCTTTCTTGACCACTTTCCGCCACATCCATTTCTTCCTCTTATTGACTTTCCCTTTGACATTAGAAGTTCTTTCCTTCCCACTGTTTGAGAAGTCGACAACTCCTAGTGATTTAGCTACCGACTATATCTCTAGGCAGTTTCCCATCGGTTTTCTTGAGATCAATTCATTATTCACATCCGCATACATCTTCTTCCCCGTTTGTTGTTCCACTTCCACCTTTTCACCATCTTTGCCTTTGTCTTTGTTTTCACATCTGCTTTGGTTCGACGAAATGTTAGAGAGACTCTTACTACAAGTTTCAGAACTGGAATCTTTCTTCCCCTGCTCCTCAGTAACCTTCAGTAATAGGGGCGCTCGAAGCCATAAACCGAATGACAGGTCTTGTTCATCCAGATCTTCGAAACCTTCTTCGCCTAGGTCCCTTAGACCCTCACAGTCCTTCAACTGGTGGTCAATCCTACCTCAAGCAAAACATAAATTTGGAAGACGTTCGTATTGAAATAGACTTTAAGGTTTTTCTCCTTAAAGTGAACCACCGTGTCTCACTTTAGAGATTGCTTGAGATCCATATTGACCTTCATTATGAGGAATTGACCATTCCTATGGGCTTCCTTCTGATCCATCTCCTCAAACGTTTCCAAAATGCCGCCAAGTTTCCTCGCCATAGTTTTGGATCTTAACACAAGAGGAAGCTCATATATTCTTACCCAAAAGACACGAAAAATGCCGCCAAGTTTCCTCGCCATAGTTTTGGATCTTAACACAAGAGGAAGCTCATATATTCTTACCCAAAAGACACGAAAAATGTATGTTGAGATATGAGGGTTGTTCTTCCCCAGACACACGAGCTAAGACGGGGAGGTTTTTGTCAAAACTCCAAGGACCGTTTCGAAGAACATTCTCGAGATCCCTCCTAGTAGCAAATCTGAATAGGAAGAAATTCTTGTTTAGTTCATGCGTTTCAACTGAGTTTTTAAGCTTCTACACGCTAATCATCGTGCTCGTGAAAGCCTGGGAGTTTAAATGGTTACCCGTCACAACTTCCCTATCAGAATACATTGAAAATTTTCCCCGTCGCATACCTCAACCACTGCCGTTGTGACCCCCTCCTCTCCTTCTTTAAACAACAGAACATTCTTTCACTTATCCATAGAATCCAAACACAAAGGAAAAACTGAACATCTTTCACTTATCCATAGAATTCAAACACAAAGGAAAAACTGAACACCTAAGAAGCGAAAGACCCTTCTATTGGATAAGGGATAAAAACCAACAAAGATTGGGAAAAACCAAAAGAATCTGAAAAAGAAAAGAGCCACCAAACCCTAGACAAATTAAAGGAATTGGAAATAGACAAATTAAAGGAATTGGAAATAGATAGTCATGATAAGTTTAGAGAGAAGAGACATTCTCTCTCCACGCGTGGGTTTAGAAGGTGGTCATTGTTCTTATGTAACAAATGATTCACATCCAACATAGCATTTAAACCTAATTTATTTTGAAGCCTAAAGACTACAAAAAATTTGTTAAGGAACATTAGTCTGCGGTGAATTTGACAAATTCAAGATAACATGGTAGGTTTGAAAGAATATTTATTGCACCAATGTGTTTCTTTTTGTTAAATACACCGTCAATCCAAACAAAACAAACAACAACCAAGCATTATCACATAGATCAACTTTTACAATAAGGTTCTATTTAAAACCATACTTATATCCAAATTGTTAATCTCAATATTAGTCTTTATAATTTCTCATATAACTTTTTCAAGTCTTCCTCTATCTCTATAGTCAATCGAAACATACAATAAAAATCTAAATCTATTAAAATGAAGAGCCAAATCAAAGAGGCAATATTATGAATTCAATCCATTGAGATTATATTGTAAAGAAATGAGGTAATCCACAACTTAAAGCTAACAGAGCCTTTAGTATGTCTCTTAAAATAAGCTCTAAATTTATAGTTATACAGAAATAGTACAAAGAAGAAGAAATTTATCAAGGCAATAAAATTTATATCAATTTGCCTATAGTCTAGTCTAGCCTTGACATGAAAAGATTGTTACAAAAAGTGCTAGAAATACATCTCAAGAACATGAAAACTCTTTACTAAGTAGCTCTAAAAAAAGTCTGAAAGATAAAGAACCAACCTTGTCCGATTTATAACTCGCTTCACATACAACAGAGATCAGTGAGCAGTGTTCTTATGGCAAGTTGGTGGTTTTTGTGTACATATGACGACACAATATCACAGATTCACGATGTTCAATATGCTTTGAGAAAAACGGACTGTTAAACAACAGATGCAATGGTCTACACAGTATGCTCTACGTGATGATACTCGAGATTACGAAGAACAATCCTGGCGAAGATTTTTGCTTCGAGAGGTGCGGTTGCTGCTGCGGCCGCACTGCGCAGAACTCTTGCTGCACCTGCGTTCTGCATGAGACGGGCATGGTGTACCGCATGTCGTCCACCAGGAATCGTAAACTGCAATTGAAAGACAGACCATAGAAGGAAGTCAGAATTCAAATTTGGTATAGATCAGCAATTTAAAAAGAAGTTATATGTGGCTAATGCAGCCTCAATTGTGGTCGCATTGCGGTTTCAACAAAATAAAAACGGTTATGTTATGGTTGAGAGCACGGTTGCAGACCTTTATTTAAAACCCTTGTATAAATAAAAACAAAACATATTCATGTTGCTAGAGTTACCTGAAGAAGAGCAAATGCTGCACAAGCTTTGAGTATCGATGATGGATTCCGTAGCATAGCAACAAATCTTCCAACTTCAGCGCCACTGAGAAACAAAAAAAAAAAGGGGTAAATACCTTTGAAATTAAAAAAATGATGTGGAGTTGATAAAACAATTGTGAGAGCGATGAAAGTATGTAACTAATACGGTATAAGTTAGCTACGAAGCACTGACACGGACACATTGACATTGGTAATAATTTTCGAAATGGAACGAAAGTAACTGAACGTAATGTATCAGCAGTGAGAGAAACCACACGACTTCAATCAAAAGAGCAACTTTAACTGGAATTAGAAGGAAAGACAAACCTGCATCTAAGATGTCCAGCTTCTTGAATACGAGCACTTTCAGTAACTTGGGCTAGTGCTGCAGGAGCTGACGAAGAAGCAGCGGCCGCAAATGCTTGTTGATTAGAAAACATACGGACAAATGCTTCGATGTGCTTCAGAGCCATCCTTCTGGCTCCATCCAAGCCAACACTCTTAGAAACACTTTCCGACAAGGTTCCAACTAAAGCAAATTCATCCATTCTGCAAAACACATTATGGTAGCTTATGAAAACAGTTTATAAGCTATTTTCAACTTTTTTCTATAAGCTCTATATGATAGCTTATGTGAAAACAATTTGACTTTATTTTATCATAAGCACATATATGCTAAAAGCTGATGTTATAAGTGCTTAATTAAGTTATTTATCCAAACAGGGTCTAAAGCTTGCTAAACATTAAGACTGTGACAAGTATTACCGCCCATCAAACATGTAGGCCAAAGCCAATGCCGCCATAAACCGTGCCATTTTTGACACTGATGAAGAACAGAGATCAACAAGTGCAGCTACTCCACCTTCCTCCACTATTCGTAAAGCATTGCCAGGGTTGAAAGCAAGATTCCATAGTGCTCCTGCTGCCGTTTCATGAACATCCTGGTAGCAAAAAATGGTTTGGATTTAATCAACATTTGACATGTATAAAAAGAGAAACCCAAAAGAGAATTATTATTAATACAATCCGAAAAGAAAAAACCAATATAAGTGCAGACAGCTACTACTCTACTATAGTCTAAAGCAACTTAAAAGACTCCTAATAAGACCGGCAAAGAACTAATCATACGCCGAAATGTGATATTTTTTTAGATTGTTATCCATAAACATTGGACATGAAGAAAATAAATACCTCTGCTTCAGACCGTGCCAATGCAATCAGAGGAGCGACACCTCCTTCTCGTCCAATGGCAATGCTAATCAAACAAAGACCAACATAAATAAATGTTAGTATATATTCTAGTGCTGAAAGAAAATGAAATTGTGGAATGACCACTTGGGTGATCAGAGTCAAATCCATATACGAGTTAAATAAAACGAAAATGTTACAAAAAAAATTCTTTACAAGGATACTTTAGAAGACAACAAGACAGAAATTAAAAAACATAAAATAACCTGATCACTTATCTGGTTAGAGACACTTAAAATTAACTTGACCATTTGATTAGTTGCAAATACTATAGTCAAGATCAAGTGTTGGATCGTAAGATCTTACGTGCCAAGGATGCCTGAGAGTGCTACGATCAGAGAAAGATTGTTTTCATCACCGGAGTGGTCAAGATCGAGCTTTTTGAAGCAAGATTGAGCTTTTTGAAGCAAGATCGTAAAAAAAACGTGTTGGGCCTTTATTGGGGCCTGATTTATAATGCTCATGGTTGTGTATACGTGTGTGTAAATACATATGAAATTACCATTTTCCCTTAGTAGGATCTTACGTGCTGTGCTAACGATCTGAGTCTTACGATCTTTCACAAGTCAGCCGATCATCCTTAAGATCTTGTGCTTGACTATATTAATTGCAAGGCGTGGAGTCTTTCATCTCTCCCTCAAGCTGGAGCATATAAACCATATGCACCAAGCTTGTTACATATATAATAATAACTTTTACTAGACATCCTCAAGGACATAGTGAAGACATTTTCCAATAGATCATTTGAACCAATAAAATTAGTGATGTCTACTCATAAAATCTTCTCTATGATGAAATGACAATCTATCACAATATGTTTAGTTCTCTCGTGAATATTGTATTTAAGGCCATATCCAAAGGAACATAATTATCACAAATGAAAGTCATTTAAGCAACCCCTCCAAATCTAAGTTCCCAAAGTAAATGCTTGAACCAATGTGAGCAGACAAGTGGTTGATGCCATGGCTTGGTATTCTACTTTGGCATTTGATTATGCAACATTTTGTTTCTTACTTTTCCAATAAATAAGGTTGCCTCGTAATGAGTATACAATATCATAAAGTGGTTCTCCTATTAGGAGGAGAGCCTACCCAATCAACATCTTAGTATTCCACAACTCAAGTATGACCTTTCTTCTCATATAGATGAGACCCTTTCTTGGAACAGCTTTCATGTTCTTCAAAATGTGACTCACTTTGAATCATACCAAACAGTTGAACACCACTGTTAAATCTACTAAACCGTGCTATAGGAGAATATTTAAGGTCATATAGAGATTTAAATTGACAGCAAACTAGCCCCGGAGACTCCCTTAGAGCAACAAATCCACGATGTTTCTCCATATAAACTTCATCAATTAGATCACCATGGAAGAAAGCATTCTTAATACCAAGTTGATGAAGAGGCCAATGATGAATAGCAACCATAAGGACAAGCATACAAATGCCATTTTTGCAATTGGGAAAAAGGTGTCTCCACAATCCAAGCCAAATACTTGTGTATAACATTTAGCAACTAGTCTCGCCTAAACTAAAATAGATCAACCTGACTATCTGAACAAACTTTAATTTTTCAACAACTAACTTCCTTGTAAAAAAGTGGAACTAGGTTAAGTCCCACTGCTCTGAAGTTCACACATTATCTCAACTTTAGCTTTTTGCTTCCAGGATGAGAAAGAACCGCTCGTGTTGTTTTAGGAATAGACAGAAGACAAGGAAAATGCATAGGTGACAGACATTGATAGCTAAAATTGACATAATGAAGCAAAGGATTACAAGTAGGCCTTATACCCTTGAGTACAATAGGAAGATCTGGTGTAACTTGTCAGAAGTGAATCCACGAGTGTTGTAGGTGGAGGCACAGCTGCTAAGGGTGAAACTTGTCAGCAATGATAGGCTTGTAAAGGGCGAGGAGGAGGAGGAGGATTCACTTAGACTGGAGCATCACTATGGAGTGTACTCAGCGGCGACGGAAGGAAGTGGTAAAGAAGTCTAACATAGACTATAGACTTGGGTGTTGAAGAATTTCAAAGAAAGGTCCAAACTCAAAGAATGTCATGTTAGACCAGACCAGACAGCTTAGCAAATTAAGGGAACGACAATGATAACCCTTTTAAAATCAAGTGTAACCTAGAAACACACATTTTGAGAGATTGAGGTGATGATCTATTCGGACCAGGAGCAAGATTGTGAACAAAACAAGTAGACCCAAAAAATTGGAGGTTTCAAAGAATGCAGAGGTTGATGGAGAAATAACATTGAGAGGCTGATGGGGATATAACATTGAGTGAAGTACTAGGCCACCAATATGTAGGCATCTGATTTATGAAATAACATGCAGAAAGAACAACATCCCCCAAAAAATGGAAAGTAACATTGTCGTGAATTAGTAAGGTATGAGTTGTTTCAATGAGAAGACGATTTTTACCTTCAACAAATTCATTTTGTTGAAGAGTAAGAGCACAAGAAGTTAAATGGAAGAATGTCATGTGAAGCCATAAATATTTGAAAACTTAGTATTAAGGTACATTATCGATTCACAGAGTACAAATGGGAACACCAAATTGTGTTCTTATTCAACAACAACCAAGTCTTCTCCCACTAAGTGGGGTCGGCTACATGGAGAACACCACCATGTGCTTTTATCTCGAGACAAAATTGTTGAAAGATGGGAAACAATTCATACCTATTTTTCATCAAAAATAACCAAGAACTTTGTGAGTAGTCATCAATAAATATAACAAAGTACTTGAACCCCAAAACAAGGGAGGATTAGCTCGATTATAGACAAGATTAAGGAATGAATTACAAGTATGTTTCATGAGTTGACAAGAGTCACAAGAGAGTGGATAGCTTGAACAAACTTGACACCAACCTTAGTAATTTTGCAAGGCTAGGACGACCCAATTGAGTGTGTACTAGAAGGTGGGAATCTATGGTTGTGCATATATGGGAGTAGTTATGGAGAACGGAAAGGTCGTTAGACTCACACCTGACACCAATCATTTGACTTGAACTCTGATCAAGTAGAAATGCAGAATCATTAGTGATAGAAACACAATCAAGAGTGAGTTAATCAGCTTATGGAAAGCAAATTAAACAGAGAACCTAGAACACAATCAAGAGTTGAGTTCCCTGGGCCTTAAACAATTCTCTCCAAAAATTGCTCATGAAGATGGGATCTCTATCACTCACTATAGACATAGGTATCCCATGCAACCTGACTACTTCCTTGCTAAAAATCTCAGCCAAACTTCTAGCCGTATATGGATGCTTAAGAGGAATAAAGTGACAATATTTAGACAACCTGTCCACTACTACAAAAATAGCTTCATACCCTTTGGATTTCGGCAAGCCGGTGATGAAATCCATAGAAATGTCTTCCCAAATGCGTTCAGGTATGGGCAGAGGTTGCAACAAACCCCCCGTGAAGAAGCTAAGTATTTTTGCCTTTGGCAAACATCACAACTTCTTACAAATTCCTGCACTACTCCCTTCATTCCCACCCAATATACATTTGCCGCCAGCCTTCTATATGTCTTGTAGAACCCCGAATGCCCTCCTTGTGGAGTGCTATGGAACTCTTTCAATAGCGTAGGAATCATGGCTGAATGTCTTGAAAGGACTAGTCTACCATCATACATTAAGACCCCATGTTTGTAGACATATCCAGGTTTGGAAACTGGATCTTGCGACAGCTCAGCTATTATTTTCTGTAATTCCTCATCATTCTGCACCTCCTCCTTCATTAATTGTGTCTGGTCCCACTGCAGAAAAGATGTGATACTCCTCAACTCCATTCCCTCGTGCATTCTAGACAAGGCATCAGCTCCTCTATTTAATTTGCCTTGCTTATAGACAACCTCAAAATCATAACCAAGTAGTTTTGCAGCCCAGTTTTGCTGCTCTGCAGTGGATATTCTCTGCTGCAACAGTTGCTTAAGGCTCTTTTGGTTGGTCGAGACAATGAGTTCGTCGAAGAAAACCAACACATATTTTCTAAGCATGGGTTTAAACACTTCATTCACGAGGCTTTGGAATGTGGAGGGTGCATTCATAAGGCCAAATGGCATTACTAGAAATTCATAGTGTCCCTCATGAGTACGAAAGGCTGTCTTGTATACATCTTCTTCTTTGACCCTTACTTGATGATAACCAGATTTTAAATCCAATTTAGAGAAGAATCTAGGACCATGCAACTCATCTAACAACTCTTCTATAACAGGTATTGGGAATTTATCAGGGATGGTTACTCTGTTTATGGTCCTGTAATCTATGCACATGCGCCACGGACTGTCCTTCTTCTTCCCCAATATTACCGGACTAGAGAAAGAGCTTGTGCTGTTCCTGATTATTCCGGTAGCCAACATCTCTTTGATTTGCTTCTCAATCTCATCTTTGTGATGATGAGGATATCTATAGGGCCTTACATTCACCGGACTTGTTCCTTCTACTAAATTAATGGCATGTTCCTTGCCTCTGATTGGAGGTAGCCCCTTAGGCTCTACGAACACCGAAGCAAAACTGTGTAATAACTGACCCAGCTTCTCCTTCTGTAGTTGAGACAAATGGCCCTCTTGTGCTCCACTCCCCTGCGTCTCTATACTCCCTAACTTCCTTTCTCTCCGCTGCTTAGGCTTCTCTAATATACTCTGCAGAGCCACCATGGACTCATTGGTGCTTCCTAAGCCTTGTAATGTAAACCACTCCTTATTACTCCAAAAACTCATGAGTTGTTTCTTCCAATTCATAATCATATCTCCAAGAGTATTCAGCCACTCTATTCCCAACACGACATCAATTCCGCCTAACTCAAACAGATGCATATCTGCTTGAATTCCGAATCCTCCAATCTTCAATTCCACCTCCCTGCAAACTCCTTGAGTCATGGTTTGAAACCCATCACCCAACTTGATTCGCATTTGTGAGGTTTTCTCTATTGGCCAATCCATCTTGCATACCAACTTCGGAGAAATGAAGTTATGTGTAGCTCCGCTGTCTACCAACACAAGCACCGGAACTCCTTTGATCTCACCTTGGAATCGTATAACTTGGGGGGGGGGGGGGGGGGGGGGGGGGGGGGGAATAACTCATCTCTCCTATCTCATCGTCTCGTCTTCTGCCTCATTCACTTCGATCGCCAAAACTTGACCATCTAACTCCTCCGTATCACTGTCATCAACAACAAGGATTTGGAGGTGTTTATCGAGGCATCGATGCGTAGGAGAGAAAGGCCCCTTACATTTGAAGCAAAGACCCTTCTGTTTTCTGTCGATCAATTCCTGGTAGGACAAGTGTTGAAATCCACGATCACGAGGCCCATTCCTTCTCTTATCTCCATGGGCTGTTTTTTCCTTTCTAAGCCCAACAGGATTGCTTTTAGAACCCCCATTCACTCCACCTTCTTTATTCTTCACTAAAACCCAATCCGAATTCCCTCGACCCGCTTCCAGATCTAGGCCCCTTACTACTAGACGACCCTTTTTCTCCATAGACCTCCTTCTCTACCGCACGAGTCACCTGTAACAATCTCGCGCGACTCATTTCCCCCATAGCTACGAAGCTGCGAACTCGACCTCTAATCTCCGCCTTCAACCCGTGAAGAAAATACCCCAAAAATTGCTTGTCAGGCAATTTCGGAATCTGAGCCATAAGATATTCAAATTCGGTGATGTATTCTTCCACCGTCCCACTCTGTCTCAGCCCTGTTAATTGCTCATATACGTCATTGTCGCCGTGACCACCATATCTGGCCAACAGTGATTCCTTCAACTTCTCCCACGACAAACCTTCATCTTCTCCGACCAGAGAATTGAAGTGAATCATAGCTCCTTCCATACACAATTGAGCTAGATTCACCTTCAACTCCGGTAGTGTCTCCTGTACACGGAAATACACTTCAGCGCGTGAAATCCACCCTGCTGGATCTTCGCCGTTGAAGGAAGGCAGCTCCACTTTTTTGATGGATTGACGGAACTCTGTCAATGCATCACCACTGAGGTTGTGAAGCCCGGATCCGGAGGAATTCCCCTTCCCCGATGATCGTCCGCCTTTGTCATTCGCACTACCTTCTTCTTCCAGCATCGTCTTGCTTAGACACCGCTCAAACATGGCCATGAGACTCTCATCACCGCATTCTGGACGTCTAACAACGTCGACTTCACCTCCGACATCTCACCTTCCAACGCCGCTACCTTCGCATCCATCTTAACAAACTCTGAGTAGTTAACCTTCTTTGGGGGCATTCGCTAGTTCCGGGAATGAGATCCGGCAGGTCGGACCAGTTTGATACGAACCAACAGAGCAATAATCGATGTAGCAGTAAAACAGTTATGAAAATACGAGGAAAAGAAGCTTTATTGATGGAAAATGGAAACAAGTACAAAGAATGGAATGTGTCAATCCCAAAATGGGCCCAGAGCTACGCTCCTATAGGATACTAGAGTATCCTATTCACTCTTTCTAGATCTAGCTACAATCCAGAGATGATTATTCCCTCTACTGACTGCTCCTTATATTGTGGAAACGTACTGCTCCTTTCTTTCATGCCACCCCATGATTACTAACTAACTCAGCCTCCAATTCCCTTTTTACCCCTTCTAGAATATACTTTCCAAACTCTGGGACCACTAGAGGCATGATGAATCAATTGTCCTGGTAACTGTAAATTATTATCATTGTTTCTATCAGGCACTGAAATCAAGAACCCAAGAACCGATTGAAGAAGATATAGAGAGGCTGGTAACGGCATTTTCTGAGTCACAACGGTGCTCAACAGAGGTGTAATAGAATATGAGGTTTAACGCTGCTTAGACCACATCAAAATAGGCAGTCTGTGGTCCATGAGACCCGAGGGCTGGTGTTCATCAAACCACAGAAAAATTAGCATGAGTGAATTGGATCGTGTTGGTAAAAAGCAGAGAATAGAGATATCAGCACCGTGCAAACAGTTGGAGAGAAATCAGCACCAAATATCTGCTAGGAACAGAAACTCATTGAAGAGTTATGAATCTGTGCTGGAACACAGGCTGCAGTTTGCAAATGCGCCTCCACGGGCCAGGAAAAGTTTCTGTGAGCCACGGCTTCAAGTCATGCATGAGAGCACATGAAAGGTCTGATCGGGAGAAGCCAGTTCTAGAGGTGGGATTGGTTGTCAGAAAAGTCACCAAAATAAGGGGAGACAGACGGCGGAGGTTCCTCTCAAAGGCGCCTGATGGCTGACAGAAAGGCAAACCAGAGCAAAACACAGTTGCCAAGAAAAAATTTATCTCAGGAGGACAGTGAGTCCACCGGTAAACATGGATTTAGGATTGCCTCTCTTTAGGCTCAATAGTCGATACCATGTTGAACTACACGGAAAAGTCCATTTTATATAGACCTAATGTAATAAATAGAAATAAATAAAGGAGATGTACAAAGATGCTAACCATATTTTCAACAGTTATATGAGAAAGGCACCTAAATCCAAAAGCTGAAAAGCACTACACTAAAATAATGCAACCAGTCATTAATGAGAAAGAAACATAATTTTCCCATTGACTTGTCTACACCAATAGTTATCATATATGAAAGTTTTCTAAAAGAATGTCCTAAGGATAAAGATTCACAAGAGCAATATTGTCAGAATAATGGAACTGTAAAAGGTACCTATTGGTTTCAGAAACTGACAGTCCCCATAGAGCACCAGCAGCCCTCTCTTGAAGCCCGGGGGAAGCATTAGAACAAGATTGGGCAAGAGCAACCTACATAAACCACAATGCAAAAGCATAAACATAATGAACATTTTAGTCTCTCCAAAGTTAAATGTTATTGTAAACAAATTACATGAGATCCATAAAAAGATTTATTTTCTATAGGGCACAAAACATACCAAAGCTTGAACTCCACCAGCTGCTGCAATGGCTTCTCGGTTTCTATCGTCAAATGACAAATTCCAAAGTGCACCGGCAGCTTCTTGCCTATAGAAATATGACAAAATGTCAAATCAACATAGAAGTGAATGTAATTACAGGTACGAGAGTACAGGACAAAGAGAAGCACTAGTGGGAAAATTGTCATGAACCAACTACCTCAAAAGCATAAGCTATATCAAGGGAAGTCCAAAAGTAAGGCAAACCTCCACCAATAAGCTAAGTGACAAACCTCCATTGTGGTCTCACGGACAAAATTTGACTCGAAATCGACCAGCAATGTTTCTAAGTCTTTTCATTTATATGTCCCTCACTTTAGCCCAACCTTGTCAAATTGTGGATTGTGGAAAATAGTGGTTTGTTCAAATTTTGCTATGTGACAGTGCTATAGCAACTATTTGACAAAACTTCTTACACTATAGTGAGTAATAACATTAATATGCTCCCCTCAACTTTCTAATATAATCTATCCCTTAAATGTGAGTAATAACATTAATATGCTCCCCTAAATCAACCAGAAGGATTCATACTTGTAAAGAACAAATAGAAGATTTACCTAACACCCTCATGGGGAGAACGTGTAAGTTGAACGAGAGCCTCAAGAGCACCCGCTTCTTGTCCGACAGCAGCATTATTGCTGTTGCTATCTCCATGAGCAGCTAAATTAGCCATTGCACGAGCAGCCTAGAGTTTAAGAGAAATCATGTTATTTATCCCACACCAACTCAAGAGTCACACATGCACACACAACTGAATAATGTAGCTATGAAATCATAATGCATGGGAAAGAAACAATAAAAACAAATTATCATCATTACCCTTGACTATATTTTGCAGATCACAGATAAGGCATGCATGCTATCACTAATGCACATATCCAGACTTGGAAAGACAAGTTAGAGAACAAATCCAAAAATCAAATAGGAACAACAAAGGGGCTTGGACATTTCTAAGCCTTCAAAGTTAAGGAGTAGTAGCTAAAAATTGAGTAAGCCAATCATTTCCAGTCTCTGCCCCACCCAAAAAAATTGCACGGAAAAAGGAAATAACAATTACCAATCACTAACACAGAAAAAACTATTATGAGTCCCGATATTGAATTGGCAGACATTATCAACCTAATAAAGTAGCTTCAAAGATTTTAGCAACTAAATAGATGATACTCAAATTATAGAGTGTGTAAATACCTGCTCTTGTACTCCCTCGTATTTACAATTACGAGCAAGCATCACTAAAGCATGTACACCTCCTGCCAATGCAACCTCTGTACTACACTTGTCATCAGCAGCCAAATTAGCCAATGCACCAGCTGCGCGTTCCTGAAAAGAAGCAAAAATCCTTGTAAAACGGAAACTTCTATTGCTTAACATAGGAAGCAACAAAAATGCACTTGAACACACTCGTAGTCATAAAACAAAGAAACTTACTAAAACTCCATCTCCGGTAGAAGACCACTTGAATATAAGATCCACTAAAGCTTGTACTCCACCAGCTTCAGCAATGGCACCCTATGATCGAAGCCACTTCAGCTTTTACCTCAGATCTTATACATTAAATTTCCAAAAGAAAAATCAAATCAGATACAAAATCTAACCTTGTGCTCCTCTCCAACAGAGAGGTTCCATAATCCTCCAGCAGCCTCTTCAGCCACAAGTTTGTTCATTGACCTAGCCAAACTAGCGAGGATCTCAATCCCACCCTCTTCTGCAACCGCCTTGGCCACATTGGCATTCACGGACAAATTTGCAATAGCCTGAAAATGCAGAAGGTTACAAGGATAAATACACAGACATTGATCAATTCGGATTTTTCTTTGGTCAGATTTCTCGGAAAAACATTCAAACACATCCAACAGTAGACATAAACTGCACAATAGTTACGGATTTGAAAGGTATTAGCTATCGAGAGCTATATAGTACCGACCCTTCGGATCGAATACGTGTTTATGTTACACGACACTGAAACATGCAGTTACATTCAATTATTCCATTTCTTTAAAAAATAATTATCAGTGTTCACGTGTCAGTGTCTGGTGTATCTACTTCATAGATCAAGACTAGAGAGTACTTCAACAAATACGTATCAATTTTTCAACAATGAGTATAAGTGAAACTTATTAGAAATGGTCAGATGGACCAGACAGGAACAAATGGAAAGGGAGAATACCTTAGCTGCCTCAGACTGAAGCCCTTCCCTGTAAGATTTTGCAAGCCCGAGAAGGAGGCGAATGCCACCATCTCGCATAACTGCTTCAGCCCTTCCACAATCGATGCTAGCATTTTCATCATCAATTACAACAAAAGTTGCAAGACCTGTGGCTGCCCTCTCCTGAACATCCTCTTGAGAACTCTGCATTAGACTAAGCAAGAGCGACGCACCTTGTTCAACCCAGAAATTATCAAGACCTCCCTGTTGAGGGCTCTCAGCAGAACGCAAAAGTATATGTGATAGCATCCATTCAAGCCAAGGTATAATTTCATCAAGACCCTTATCATTATTACTCTTTGAAGTCCTCCAGTTCAAAAACACATTCTTCCCTCTATTTGTATTATCAAAAAATAAAGAAGCTAGTCCTTTAAAAATGTCGGTGGATAGGGAAATCAACAACTTGTTTTTATATTTACTAGCAGAAAAGCTAGTCTCTTCTTCAAAGATAGGACAGTTCAAAGCAATCAAAACCCTCAAATTTGTTGATGAGGATAACAATCTTGAAACAGCAGAGGGACCAATATCGGTTCTTGAAACATCTAATCCAATCAGATTCGGAAGCTTATGCCAAAGATGTGTAACCGTACTCCACTTCATACTTGGTGTCCCCGCAACAGAAAGGAAACGAACGGATTGCACATTTCCCAATGCAAGTTCATCAACACTCAGGCAGTCAATGAACCCGATATCGCTCAGCTTAGGACAGTAGTTAGCCAATGCATTAATAGCATCAGCATTTACATCCCTAATGCCTGAGAGCCTAAGTTTATTCAAATTAGGACAGCAATGAGCTATTGATTTTATAGCATCACTAGTGACTTTGTCACAAAAATCTGGTCCAAGCTGAAGACTCTCAAGTAACTCGTGCCGGGCTGCAACGACAGCAAGAGTTGCATCAGTCATCTTCCTACAACTATCCCCGCTTATTTCACGCAAGTTCTTAGCTCGAAGATGAAGCAGTACATC